ATGGAGGACATTAGAACAGCAATTAAGCTAATCTCCCCAGGATGTGTTATGGCAAAAATCGATCTCAAAGATGCATATTTTTTAGTCCCTGTACAACAAAATGACAGAAAGTTCCTTAGATTTCTTTACGGGGGAAAACTGTTTCAGTTTACGTGTTTGCCTTTTGGCCTCTCCACTTGTCCATACGCGTTCACCAAGTTAATGAAACCGGTAATAAACCATCTGCGTTCTAAGGGTTTAATCTCTGTAATTTATCTAGATGATCTCCTTTGTATAGGCTCATCCAAAAACGAATGCCAAACTAATGTACAAACAACACTTGCCTTGCTGTTAAAATTAGGTTTCATTAATTGGCAGAAAAGTCAACTGACTCCCGTTACTCGCTGCGAGTACTTAGGCTTTGTGCTGAACTCCAAGAACCTCTCCTTAGAGTTAACCGACAAAGAGCGGTTTGCCATTAAAAGCATGATTGAACGCCTCCAACCAGGGACGCGTTGCTCCATCAGAGCCTTTGCCAGTCTCATAGCTTGGATGACAGTCCCCCAATCGATCCGTCCTGACTTCAAATGGTGGGATAGCCACATTTTACTATCAAGTAACCCAATCAGAACAAATATCTTCAGGGTTACAATTTTCACGGATGCTTCCAGGACGGGTTGGGGGGCTGCCTGTCATGGCAATTCGACAGGAGGTCTCTGGTCAGCAGAGGAAAGAACCAAGCATATAAATCTCTTGGAATTGCTCGCAATTTCTTTGGCCCTCAAGTGTTTTGCACGGGACTTATCAAATTGCAACATTCTTCTCAGGGTTGATAATACCACTGCGATATCCTATGTTAACAGAATGGGAGGTACGAGAGTACCTCATCTAAACAAGTTAGCTCGCGAGATCTGGCAGTGGTGCGAGGCTAGGAGTCTCTGGTTATTCGCATCTTACATCCCCTCCAAAGAAAACACGGAAGCGGTTCGTGAATCGCGATACAGTAACATTGATACGGAATGGGAACTCGCTAATTATGCGTTCAACCACATAACCACTCGCTTTGGAAAACCAGAGATTGACCTTTTCGCATCACGCATAAACACTAAATGCAGGGACTATTGCTCTTGGCATCGGGACCCCCTCGCTCATTCAGTGGACGCTTTCACGATTGACTGGAGCAATATTTTCTTTTATGCCTTCCCACCTTTCTCGTTAATCCTGTCCTCCTCGCTGGGTAATACGATCGCGCAGTTATTTATCTGTTGACAGTCCACGCTGTAGGCTTCCAACTTTCCATTTGAATGGAAATAATGCATGCATCTGGAAAGAAAAAACATTTTTTATATTTTTCAAATAAAACAAATTTTCATAAATTTTATTGATACTCACCGATCGCAAATGTATTTTTTCCCATGTTTACCACTCAATTGTGAACTGACGAGGCGGGATAAGTTTTTTATCCAGACGAAGTGGCCCACTTCAGCACCCCCCTGATCTTGCAGGTATAATAGGTTCACGTGCTTCTCCTTCTTCTCGTCAGCAACTCGTAGCGGTACGATTGTGTGTTCGCAATTGTTCTTTTCATCGATGCTGTACACATTGATGGAAATACTGTTCAACCGTTCAAACTTTTTAATACCACTTAATGTCATTGGCATTGGAACGTCTCGCAGGTTTAACACATCGCTGTAATGCGGATGCGACGATTTCCGATCCACATGTCTTTCAGCTGGATGCAGAGCAGCGACCACCGACCACGCGAAACACGCATTGTCCTTTGATCGTACATTGATCACTGCTTTCTTCCGTTTCACCACTTCTGGCATGTCTATATGGTATCCCGCGCGCATAGGATTGCACTTGTTCACATTAATAGTTACGTTGTGTATACGCGACAGCGCCCACCCGCTATCACGCTCCTGGAATTCTTCGAGTTCGGTTAGAATCGGATCGATTACGCGCGACTTGTACCACAGTTGTAGGTCCGTTGTAATAAACAGTTCATAGTTTTTTGTATTTATGCTTTTATTTGCACGTTTATCACCCGCCACAAACTCTCCGTTGAACACGGTATTCTCCTTTACACAATTATAGCGCTCGATAGCGTCTCGCACGTGCTCGACCACTACATCGCGAGCGTCCTCGAGAAATTTCCGCGGCTCGATGTACTCCACGTTAGTCACCACACCGTAAGCACGCGACTGTCAAACGCGGTGTCGATCTCGCGCCACGACAGTTGCGCTCTCGAAGAAGGTCCAACACTCACGTAATCATCGCCGCCACCACCACCACCGAAATGTACGAATCGTCGTTCCAGTTGTTTTTTTACTCCCTCGAGTCGCGCGATTTGTGCAACCAGAGATTGTCTATTGCCGATGGACAGCCTTGGACGCTTGGCACGGCTACGTTCTTCGAGTTTCGCGATGCACTCGTCGCATTGCAGAATCCACGCGAAATAGTCGCCTATGGTAGCAACCTCGTCGACTCGCGCCACCAGATCTTGATCCATGTTATCGCACTAACGTCTTTTTCACAAAAGTCTGATGCAATCCACATACACTTTATGCTGTACAAATTGGGCACATATTACATGAGAAAACAATATAAAGTCGCGCATTACATCTTGTACAGTTGTTAGACCGTATCGCGCTTATGTCGCTGTGAAAGTCAATAATGTGTTTACGATTACAATAGGTAAGCTCAACGTCTCTAACTTCACCCATGCACGCATGACACAGTCTATATGCGCTACCGTTGGAATAGTAGCTATATATAGCGCACTTTTTTGTCGAGACGCTCAGCGCCAGAATTTCGGGAGGAGATACTATTGTTCTAGCGGTTGTTTTTTTAAATTCTTCCGAGTCACTGTCACTGATGTAGTCACTGTCATTGGCTATTGGTTCAAATTCTTCTTCGTCGGACTCGTCTAATATCCTCTCGAAATTATTGTCATTGTCTATTTCCATTTCTTCTTCAAAATTATTATTTTCCATAATTTCGATGATTGTTTAATATTGAATATTTCCCAAGTCACTCTTTTCACATTCGTTGATGTTTAATATTGAATATTTCACAAGTCGCTCTTTTCACGTTCGTTGAAACTGATTCACTCGACTGACGGACTTTGAAATGTGGAACTATAAGCTAACCTATTGTCAT